TTTATAGTATCTGATGGTTCAACCTCTAACTTTTTGCAAAAAGAGTTGATAGGTAGGTCCCAAACGTTGAACTTCTGCATCCAGTCGATACATACTAGATTTTCAGTATCTTTTATGACGTATATCAAGTTTTTTTGTTTTGCCGTGAAATTTAACATTCACGATTATTTCTCCCTCAAATTTTATTCGTTTGCCTGTAACCGATTTGGCAATTTTTTGAGTGTGTAACATGGTAGGTCTGTTGAGTTTTCTCCATGTCTGTAAGTTGATTATCGTGAGGTCAGAACCCGAATCCAGTTGTAATTTAATCTTTTTATTTAAAATTTCCAGTTCCACATATTTCCTTCCGTTGGTGTTGTCATCGTTATGCATCCTTGTGACTCTTATTCTATTAGTATCTTTTCTTTTTCTACATTGGGATGCCTTGTGGCCCTTTTTTCCACATTCAAGACAGTTTTTATATCTGAAGCGGCAACCCTTGTTCCAATGTAATCCTCCACATCGATAACATTCTGATGGAGGGGGCTAATATTTGTTTCGATATTTGTCATAATTTGTCCTGTATGTTGCACTTTTCCTCTTATTATAAAATTTTCTTTTTCTTTCCGGGGAGGGTGAGAATTTTTTTCATTGTCGTAAAATTTTAGTTTTCTTTCCGGGGAGGGTGAAGAACGTAGACTTTTGTTTAACTTACGTATATGAGAAACAGCTGATTCTTCAATGTTCTTTGCGTCTTTCTTTATGCTTAAACATCTCTGGCAATCTTCCGATAATTGCTGTAATGTTAGACCCTGTTCATTTTGTAATTTTGCAAGCATTCGTCTGCGCATTTCGCTATCTTTTGTAGAAACTAACCCTTGAACAAAGATGAAACATTTGAAATTGTCCGGAGTTAATTCAGCTAGTTTGAAGTCATCACAATATTTATTTACGATTGCGGCAAACGTGGAATAATCCTCATTATCGCCCTTTACCAGGTGAAGGCATTTCCACCTCCAATGGAAGAGTGATGTTTTGGGGCTGAAGAGTTCTTTAAGGCATGTCACTGCTTCGTCAAATATTAATTCGTTCGTCTTTTTTGGCAAGATATAATCCACGAACTTTGTATATTCTTCAGTTCCTAATTTTCTAATCAATAGACGTAGCTTTTTTGCTTCTGTCCAATTTTGACAGTCTATATTAAAGATGTCTTCATGTCTTCTGAAGTAAACTCCAAAATTTTTGTCCTCATCTAAGGAATATTTGAAAATCTCTATGGTATTCCACACTGCGTCTTGCGAAAATGTTGCTTCTTTTTCAATATCTAATTGCTTGTTGCCAGCTACTTTCAATATTAGTTCCTGGAGCTCTGTTTGTCTATCTTGAATTTTCTTTTGCGTTTGTAATAATTGCTTTTACCATTTTTCATGTAGCTGTAACTGTTGATCATTGTGGTGTTTTATCAGTTCTACCAAAATATTTTAAAAATCTTCCATGATAACTCAATTTTACGTATTTTTACTCCTCGTAATTGTTTGTCGCTAATTTGTTGTTGAACGACGAGGGAAGGATTTTTATATTTCTTCTTTTCGTGTGAGTTCGAGTCGCTCGAAGCCAATTTGCTTGTTGGACGACGAGGGAAGATTTTTCTTTTGTTGATTTTTTTTCTTTTCCGCTTGGGTTCGAAACTTCGTCGCCTAGTTGTTTGTTGTACGACGAGGGAATATTTTTCTTTCGTTGATTTGTTTTCCGCATGTGTTCGAATCTTCGTCGCCAAGTTGTTGTGTTGAACGACGAGGAAATATTTTTCTTTTGTTGATTTTTTTTTTTTGTTTTCCGCGTGTGTTCAAATCTTTGTCGCCAAGTTGTTGTGGATTTCGAGATGAATTCGGTCTCCAATGAAGAACAAACGCAATAATTAAATATAAGAAATAAAATGTATTTACACAAACATACAAAGAGTAATACTGTTAGTAAATCCAGGAACACGGTTAGTAGCAAATACAGATAGATATATACAGTCTCGAAGTAGGATTTTCTTAGAGTCTACGTGCTTGTAACTGACTTCTACAAGAGGCTACCTCACACTATCTCCGTTCGTATATTCTCTCTCTCTCTCTTTCCGACTACCCTCTCACTATCCGACTACCCTGGTGACTGTCTAACTCTGGGTATTTAACGGCAGCAGTCCAGGTACACTGGACCCCATAACAGTTATATATTTGAAAATGTATTAAATGTATTATACTATACTGAATAGTATTATCTATTAGGAAATGTATTAAGTGTATTATAGTATTATGTATTATATGTAGTATTGTGTTTTAGGAAATGTATTAAATGTATTATAGTATTATGTATAGTATTATGTATTAGGAAATGCATTAAATATATTATAGCATTATGTATTTTGTATAGTATTGTGTATTATGAAATGTATTAAATGTATTATAGTATTATGTATTATGTAAAGTATTATGTATTATGAAATGTATTATAGCAAAGGTCCGAGCTGGCGGCACTAGACAATCGAGCTCATCTGAATATTTATCATGGGAGTAGCGATGGGTTTGCGACATTAAGTACAAAGAATAGAAATTTTTTCCAGCGTCTTTAGCAATGGTTCACATAGATGAGTTCCTCTTGAGGTCTGAGCTGAACGTGCGTCTCATTAGACCTTCAAAGCAAGGCTTACTGAGAACGCTACCGTTCGTTATGCCTGAGAAAGGTCAGGGGTTTCCTCGCTGTTTATCCAGTGTTACTAACTTTATTATCTTTTCAGGTAATGGAATTCACAAACCAGGTTTATTCCCATAGTAAAGTGGAAACAAAAATTATAATTCAATACACTTAAAAAAAAATAAAAATTAAGCCATATACCTATTTCGGATAGTAATCTATATATAAAATTCTCTGAATTCCGTTAAAACGTTCGTCACATCCTCTAAAATAGAAATACATTGGCCGATCAAAACCAAATTTTGGGAAGAAGTGCGAACAGGTAAGGTAGTACAAATACAATTGATTTTATTGGTGCGTAGCTTCGGCACCTCGGCGTGGTGTAATTGTTAGCAGGCTTGTCTTGCTAGATCAGTTACTACTGAAAAGTGAGTTCGATCCTCACTGCATGCCCCAAGCTTTTGGCTTTGTGCCACATCTAAGCTATGCTTCGAAAAAATTTACTTGGTGCGTAGCTTAGTACAATAAATTTTCATACATTTTTTTTTGCGGGGGGGGGGGAATAGAATTTTATTATTTAACATACAAAATACTCCCGCTGCTCAAAAAACAATTAAAAAAATAACAAATAGCTTTTCTTTAAGTTTTTATGTAAAGGAATCCAGTTTCCAGTTCACCTTGCGTTTAGTTCGAAATTTTCTAAAGGTTACCCGTATCAACAAACAAGCTGAAGGCCGAAGGGTACTATAGCAGAAACGTTATTATAATAACAGTTCAAGATGCGGATATTAGTCTGAATGCAAATAATGTGTATGGGACATATAGTCACGTGGTTTTAATGGACTGAAAACAAAACAAAAAATATTCAAGCTATGAGTCATTTCATCTTGAGTGTTTGATTCCCAGAAAAAAAAATCTGTTTATATGAGAATCGCAGAATAAAACAACTCCAGAACAATCTGCCCATTTTCTGGAAGATCCTCTGGATAAATAAATTTCGTTTTCTGTCATCTTGATTTCTCATAGTAACAATAACGTAATACAACAGGTCGATTGTTCGTCTTAATACAATCATTCCTGTCGAACCGTACATTGAAGGTCATTCTCAATGGATTCTCCTCCAGCTCCTATCCCACGAATGCAGAAGTTCCCCAAGACTCTATCCTAGGCCCTATCCTGTTCCTTATCTTCATTAATGATCTTCCTGATATCATAGGTTCCCAAGTAGGCATCTATGCGGACGACACTACTATTTACTCCTGCCTCAAAAACAAATCAAGTGCGGCGACAAAACTGACCTGACCGTTTGTCTTGAAAAGGACCTCCAATCGGTTGTGGATTGAGGCAGGAATTGGCTGGTTAACTTTAATGCCTCAAAAACAAAACTGCTCTATTACTCACCAGAGAGAACCGTCCCTGCCTCCTATTAGAATGTCTGACGCTCAACTCCACGAGAGCACCTCTTTGCGACTGCTCGGTCTCACACTCTCCGCTGACATGAGATGGAACGAATATATATATATATATATATATATATATATATTCGTCCACACCAAGGAAAGTTGGCTCCCTGTGCTGCTCCAGGAAATTTTTCTCGTCGGAGTCGATCCTTCAAATCTACAAATCAACCATTCGCCCTTGCATGGAGTATTGCTGCTATATATAGTCTGGAGCCCTTCTAATTGTCTCAAGGGCCTTGATAAAATTCAAAGACGGATATACAATGTAATTGGCCCTGATCTGGCATCTCGTCTGCAGTCACTCTCTCACAGACGTGCCGTCGCCTCCCTCTGTCTTTTTTACAATTACTTTCATGGTAACTGCTCCGATGAGCTGCTTTCGCTGGTTCCCAGACTTCATGAATTTAAGCGTTCAACTAGACTGGCATCTCGCTCTCACCCTCTCACAGTCGAAACTGTTAAATGTAGCCGTCTCTTCTATTCCAATAGCTTCATGTCTCGCACTTCTCGCCTGTGAAACTCCCTTCCCTTTTCCTGTTTCCCTGGTAGCTATAATCTCCAACTATTCAAATGTAACGTCAATCGACGTCTCTCGATGCCCTGATATATACCCTAACCTACGCTTCATTTTTCCGCTATCGCTCCTCTTTGTTCTCGCTCCAACTCTCAGTAACCCCTTGCGTGCTAGTGGCTTCCAGCCTTGCTTGGGGTTGAATGCTTTTAAAAAAAAGAGCTACTCTAGGTAGAAAGTTGATGTTGCTTACGATGAATGAGTTGTAATATGAATGAAAGGAAGCGGAGATTTTCAACTATGTTTCATATTTCCGAGAGGTTACGACTATCTTTTATATTTACATTTATGATTGTTTTATTTCACGGGGCTTACGGCCATATCACGTTGAAACACCGGATCTCGTCCGATTACTGAAGTTAAGCAACGTTGAACCTGGTCAATACCTAGATGAGTGGCCATTGGAAAATACCAGGTTCTGTAAAAAAGGCACCGAATGAGAAATCGGAGAGCCGAGTTCGAATTCCAGTAGGTTTCATTATATTCACTTTTGTTCTAATACCTTTGGAAGCGTTATGAGTTCACCTCTTCTTCTCCCACCTATGAGTGAAATAGTAAAACTTGTATCAGAGAATCATTATTATCTTCAAAAATGTTTTACAGCCGCAAAATATGTTTCGACATTAAATAACCTAAAAAAGAGGTTGATAAGCAGTAAAAAAATAATCAAGCTACTTCACACATTCAACTTATACTTGGCAATCTCTCAGTTGCGTTTCTGTCTTCGGGCAGAGTGCAACGCTGTTGTCTCTCTGTCTGCAGACATGGGTAAAAAAAAAAAAATACACCGATGTGCCCGGTTCCGGGGAAAAGCTGCACGGCCCCGGAGAACAGCTGCCTGTGTCTGTACCCACCACGTTCTAGTAAAGAAGTTGGATCGGTAGTCATACCGATGCCAGTGCAATCGACGTTTGCGGTGGCTGAGCAATTTTAGGCCCTAGCTTGAATGTACGCGCTTAGGTGCCCCACATTTAACCCGACCTTGTGTCACATCAGCTCTCATTTGGGAGACAGGGTAAATACTACTTTACACGTTCAACGCCAAAGAACATTGCATATATTTTATTTATATAGAGAGTAAGTGCGAAATCACGAAACGTCCCCCTTTTTGGAATACGCGCTTTGTCTTCACTTTATCCTTCGTACACTACTTTGACTCATACATATTTTCCTGGTATGCTTTTTCGTCTCTAGGGAAAGCTGATTATTATATTTTTATTGTAAAGACATTAGCGAAAAAAAAGATGGTGGTAAAGGTATTAATTTCTCTTAGTTCACTGGTACTGTCATTTGTGTCACTGCCTATATTGTTAATTCTACAAGTTGTTTTTTTTTCTTTTTCCTCAGCGAGTCTCCAGACGTAGACGGTAATGTGTCTAATCATGCCAGAAACTCTCTGAGAAGGTTTAATTACGATTTTAATTAGGATCATTGTCATCATCTCTTTTCTTTAATACAGATATGCGTGCTCACAGTCGCCAAAATATCTCGCTAATTTTATAGGGAAATGAAATATTTATGAACTAATGGTTCCAGTTTCTTTTGACCTTTGACCTGTCTATCGTCTGTTACAATTTGTTTACATTCGCTAATAAACCTGCACGAAATACTTTTAGTGCATGCGCTCAGATAAAGAATCAATGAAAAATAATCGATCACTTTCATTCAGCGATATCGATTTTAACGATACTCCGAGAAGCGGCCGATTTGCTCATTATGAGACAGAAAAGAAAGTCGCTTTAAATCATCGACTCGCGTTTAAGTTATTGGTTTATTATAGGAAAACAATAGATAATATTTGACTCACGGATCAATTGCAACTGAGACGTGAGCACGATGCTCACTAGGTACCCTATATCTGCGGCCTTGTGCCACATCTAATCTACGCTTAGTTAGGCATTAATGTTTGCAATCATTTTTCTTTTAATCGATATCACTCCAAGTAAGGCAATACAGCCACTAAGACGCAATGAGTTAGATGGTGTGAGGGAATTGAGAACAGAAACATTATTAATTAATAGAAAGTGTACTCAGGAGGATAGTTAATTGAAATTGCATTTAAATTGTTGCAGATTAAAGTTGGTTGCAAAGCATGGAGCCAGGAAAGAGCTCCACAAGTGAGAAGTGCGAGATATAAAACTGTTAACATAGAAGTTACGGCTACATCTAGCTAGCTCTACTGTAAATTGATGAGATCTCGCCGCCAGTTTAGTATTGCGCTTAGATTCATATAGTCTAGCTACCATAGCGAAGAACAATATTTATTTTGTAAAATTTACAAATATGTAGCAGAAGGCCAAAAGCGAGAATGGCGAAAAAGAAGGTTTTCTACTGTCTTATAATTATTACTTAGTTAACAACAATTGTGCAAGAAAACGGGAAAAAAAACTTCTTGCAACACAAAAACGAACGCCTTCTTGCGAACGTGAAACGAACAGCTCCTTGCGAACGAACACTTTACGACAGCAAACGAGCAAAACGACACCCAAGACTGCTGCCGATGGACGACCGACCGCAACGCCCAAGAAAAGACCCCAAATGACTCACGCGTCGTCTTCTTGTAGTCCTCGGTCGAGTCCATTATGGTACTCCAAAGTGTGTCCGGCGAAAACACACGCACGCAGTTCGGGGACGCTTCCGCGCATGCTCGTTACAACAATTACTGACCCAAGCATACACAATGTTTCTTACACCAAAACAGCACATTCTTACTTACTATTCTTACTGCATTCGCCATAATACCACATTGTCTCTATGAAGTCCTAACTAGTCCCCATATGTACAATATCTGTCTGCGGGAATAAGAACAAAACATCAATTTAAAAAAAACTGAACGCCATTCTGTATTTACAATATGAAATAACCTATTTACATGAAACTAAATGAAATAGTGTTAGTAATAAAATAACATACGTACAATCCTTAATTGTGATATAAGCATCTGTTAACTGGTCGAAATTAATGCGGGACTTTAATAAAATATAACACTCATTCGTTCTACCAATCACTCAAACACACACATTCAAATTGTTATGGTAATTTACCCATGCACGCATGGACCCACCCAGCTAAAAATAGGAGCAGGTACTGCCTTTTGGAAATGGAAGTTTCCAGCAGTCATCTCTGACAGTCGAATCGAACATTGTTGCTGTAACACTCTTTATGTTTATATTATTGTTTCTGTTAATATATTTGTTTAACTCAGTTCCTCTCTTTGTGTTTTTATTTCTGGTCCTAACAAGGCCAAAACACGAACACAGCAACAGCTACGAAAATCACATCCGATATGCGAAAGGCATCCTACATCCACCAGATAACTAACAACTTTGGTCACTTAATGGGGAGGATGGAATTGAAGTAAAGAAAGATGAGACAGACGTAAAAGAGGCCAGTGAGCTTGCTTCTAGCGAAGTAAACTTTGAAAGAAGAAACTAGAGACAATAAACAAACCTAAACTAACCTAATTTGGGACTGGGTTACCAATGTTTGTTCAATGCAATTAGAACACTACCCTAATGACTAACCAACATCAAAGTGCCACTCTAAATCAACCCCTTTTACTTGACACAAACGCGCAAGACTCATCCACTTTTTGCCAAATTCTGATAGAGGGAGCCGCGGCCTTTCCATCCTAATCTTGACTTTAAGCTGATACTTAAAGAACAAGATCAGTTGGGAAGAGGTGAACAACTTGAGACCCATAGAATTCCTTCTAACATGTCATCCATATCACGACTCTCATAACATATATAAAAAGAGCACATAGTGTTCGGCCTTCGTCAATGACAGTACCACCTTCCTACGGACATTACCAGCCTCAAGACGAAAAACACACTCCCTCACTAACACATAATATAATTATCTACGGAACAACGCCTGGACGTCGGAGAGGCCATCCGTCGCCATATGATGTTTTAGTACATACGACATTCACGATAAAATGAACACTCGGAGTAAACGGGGTGCCTCTTCCTCGCACGAGTGCACTTCATAGGGATAGGAAGTTCTTACGGGTGTCTTCCTTCCAGAATTCACCCTCACCATCTGACATATTCTATCTAGGAACGCGATGCGAAGCGTAAGTTGACGAGTCTCAACGCTAGGCATACAGCGACCCCCTTCAGAATGGTGGAGGTAAAAGATCTCCCGAAGTACTTTGGGAGCTTTGCCACACTACAAGAAGGAGAACAAGAGCCTTACTAAGGTTATTATTGTGACTGACGGAAGTGGAATAGATAGAGTCGGTAAAGGAGAACCGGGTAGATGTGCGAGGCACATACCTCTGCCCGCCATCCCCTTTAAGGAAAGATTCCTCGAGGACCACAGAGGAACTGCAACCTCAGTCTTCTCCCGCACCTTCATTTCCAAGAGAAGATTGGGACCGAACCAGGCGCCGAGTATCTTGACTGGTCCGTCCGTCCACAAGTAGAACACGAAAAGAGAAACTCTCTTTCACGCACCTAACCTCAAACCAACAGACATTGCGGTTTAACTTGGCTCCCGTCACCGTCTCATACATTCTGATTTAATTACCGACATCATCAATCTCGACTCGACACAAGAACTGAAACGTTTTCAGCATAGGCAGAATACGAATACCTGGCCGTGGTGGTAGCAACAGGTAGGGAAATTCCGCGTAGGAGCGGATTCGTCTTTAACTTACTAACGAAAGGCTCCAATGCAAGAACGTATAGCAAATGCGAAAGCGACACCCTTGACGAATGGAGCGAGACAATACGAAAGGATCCGATCGAATCACTTTCATCCTACCAGCGCAAATGGGGACGAATAAAGAAGTCAATCCATTATCAAAAATACGGCCCGAAACCAGCCGCCGAAAGGACAGCTTTCAAAAAATCGATGGTCAACCCTGTCAACCTTGGTCTGATCTAAATTTGTCAGCGCGGCTTCACTCTCGACTTGACTGGTCATCAAACGTACTCTATGAAGGTTGTCCTGAATTGCCATGCCCTTCACTGCAAAATATTTTTTAGGAGCCAATCAGACTATAGAGAGAGGACAGCCCGCAAACGGTTGACTAAGATCTTGACTAAAATCTTTAACTTCGTGAAAGGCCGAAAGTTATTTATCCTATCCCCACTGTTTTTGTTCTTTCGTAGTAAACTGATCACAGTGAAATCTTGATGTATAGACACCTAAAATATCCAGTTATTGTAAATCAGTTCCAACAAAGGAACAAAACTGGGCGACTGCCTCAAGTACATTTCATAAGGAAGACCATCTAATCCCAAAGTTTCGTCCCGGCCAATCAGCGCTTCCCAGTTTTCTGACTCTGTAATGGGAACCTCGCACCTACCCGCTTCAGCCGTCTCGAGGCGAGGAAGGTTAGATGAATAAGCTTTGAACTGTGCGTGCTCAGACCGGGCTCTTTAGTGAACAGATGCTGAAAGTATTCAGGAAA